CTGACGGTTTCGCAAATGAAAATTATAGTTTCTCAAAGCTATCTTGAAATGGTATAGTTCAAACCTACAGGCTACTGAGTCAGGATTTTGTGAGCCAGGTCATCGATTAAAACAGCTCCGCCACCAAAGTTCACCTCAATAACTCCAACCGATGCTACTTGGGAAACGTTGTTGTTCGAATAGACGAAGGTAATTGAAAGTGTATTGCTCGTAACACACCCGAGGCGCAAACCTCTTTCCTGTTCGTTACTGTGGTAACCTGGTCTGAATGAGCTATCGTCAATTTCCCGGACGCTACAAGTAATGCCTTAGGTGTTTTCCGCGTACAAAACAGTGCTTGCTTATGGAGTCCGGACCAGTTGAGCAATCTCGCGCAAATCGTACGGCTTCACCGACCTACCGAATCGACCTCCGTCAGTAAGCTCAACAACATGCAGGATTGAAGTCTGTCCCGTTTCAACACAGACGGAGTGTGGTCAATCCGGGGGTAGAAAAGGCGTGTGCCGATTGACCAGTCCGGCGCACTGAACGGAAGCGAAAGCAATCACAGTGTTTCTTTCTCAAATCAAAGTGTTAGTTTCTCACATCAATTTTAAAATGGTATGGATCGTGTGTGCATGGTGTAATGCTCAGTTCTTTAGCAAAACCGCTTTCAAGAGAAACCAAGTTATCGAAAATAGGTGAATCGTCCGTTACTTGATATTACACTTACTTCTTTTCAATAATCCAAGCGACCCCTTCTCATGCTTTTCTGGTGAAAAATATGCACCATCATGTATGATGTCAACATCTAATCTTTCTTTCTTCCGTTTTTGTTTCCGATTTATATTGAAACCGATCGATAAATTCGTTATGGCCAGCGTGGGTCCGAAACAGTGACTTCGGGGACTAGTGATTCGCGTGATCCACGAAATAGAAGTGCATCACTCGTTAGACCCCAATTACGATTACCTTTGACTAGTGGCCGGCTCGATTGCGTCAGTGATTATCGTTCAATCATTCACACAAGCGCATTGGCGCGACGGCGGTCTCGGTGCCTTGGAGACCTGACGTTCTACTCAGAACCCTCTCCACCACCTAGGTCACCTGTACGTGCAGTTAGTTTAGTGCGATGGAGACCATGGATCAACAAAATTTCAATCCGATCAGTGAAACTAACCTTACGGCCACCAAATTAGTCGTTTTTGGTGATCACGGTAACAAAAATGACCACGAAAGCTGAATAGACTCATTCTGGGGTTCCCACAATGTTGCAGAAGAAACCGGTGTACAATACAAAGATTTATTTGTAGCCAAATTGACAGTTGACTTAGCTTGGCTCTCCGTTGGGGCTCAATCAATGAGCTTGTTGCATCAATTGTTCGCTCCTGTAAATCACCCGACATCTGAGCATTAGCCAAGGCAAACAACTTGATATTAATAATAATAATAATCGTTATTATTATTATTATTATTATTATTATTATCACGAAGACAAACACCAGGTATTGGAAGAATACGCAGACATATTTCGGGACTGATAACTCACGAGGTAGTGTTTCATTTGAGCATTGATCTCGGACAAAATCGGTTTTGTTTTCATGAACTCGGATACACATGTTTGAGGATCCTGTAAGGGGAACAGAATTTCAGTTCGGTCAAAATGAACTGAAACAGAACTGTCTTTCGTAATCGTTATAACCACTTCTAATCAGTTCTAAGTGATTGGATTGGCAACTTTGGACAGGCGGAAACGAAATGTGCGGAAACATTCACAAGCAGAAATCATCAAGCAGAGCTGAGCGATAAAATAACCACTTTTCAAACACTGTGACCGTATCATATAACTATGTATCACGGTATTGTGGAATGGTTTTCTCCGAGCTGGTTTGATTAGGATTAAAGTAGCCGAAAAATCTTTAAAGTGCTATATCACTTACCACTGAGCTACACGGTCAACAGTCATCACCTTGTGCTAATGGCCCAATCAATTTAGAACATTAAGCATGGATTAGCCCATTCGATTTTTCAGAGGCACCACTCACTCTTGATGGTTCGAGTCCTGACAGGAACACAAAGAGTACACACTATTGACGAGTCCCAAGGAGGATGGAGCAGGTGTCTAGGGCTCTTTGTCAGTCACAGCAATTATTTCCATTGCAATTAAATGTATTCCGAAGTGTTTGTTAATAAGCATAATTAACCGAAAATTGCGAAAGAACCGATTGCGTCAGTTCCCAAATTGCGGGTCACATTGCACCTTCAAGTCAAAGGTGATGACGTAAGCCGCCTGCTCTACAAACGACTGAGGTCAGCAATCACTCGAATCTACTACGCAGCCGATCCCCCAAATCGTTTACCGGACAACCAGGATACCCACAACCGCGGCGAAAGAACGTCTGGCTCTGTACGCCAACTCTAATCTAATCTACCAATTCCAAAGTGGTTGAGGTGTAACCTACGTGGGCTGAACAGGGCGACAATTACGCAATCGGGTGGTGGAACATATTCCGCATTGGGTCCAAAATCAGCTGACCCAATTGAGGTCAAGTCCGCTGCATAGAAACGACGGTCTAAACTACAAGACCCCGACCTCAGAAATTGCTCGATATCTGCTGATGACGCAACACCAGGTCGACCGAGGCACAGCGTTTCGAATTATCTACAAGTCACAAGTCGCAAGATTGCTAAGGTTTGCTGAAGCGATTGCGATTAATTGATGGAAGTCCCCCTTGTGTCAGCAAAAAGAACTTTGTTAGTCTCTCCCTACCCTAGTGATATTGGTCTTTTTACCCCTCCCTCCTTTATGTTTTGTCTGTTTTTGATGTACTTTGCTTTACTTCGTTGCTATGCTAGAGCCCTATNTTTAAACGTATTTTCTGCAGTATGCACCATATTGAGATGCAGCGAAATCTTCCTGGACATAAATCGTGCAGTATTGCCATATGGTCTTTTCTTTTAAATGTATTCCGTTAGTGGGTAATTAACGGTCTCTCAAGAAGTGAAACCCACATCCAAAACCATCAAGACTGACTGGTGCTTCTGAACAATCGAATGGGCTAAACCAAATATGATACTCTGAATACTAGATCAGTGTTTGGACAATAAGGAGGGATAAGCACAACACTATGTAGTGGGGCAATTTAGTAAGAAACTATTCGGTAAACCCAGAGTGGTTGGCGCACCAAAATAACAACCTCTCATTCCCGAGAATTTCAATCTTAGTGACGGTTGATGATGATTCATTGACAGTCGGGTGAAATAACTGCACAAGGCTTCCACGGTGAGTAGCACATAGATATTGCATGACTAATACGTTTTTATGC